GTTTGCAAGCCATGGATGGAGCTAGAGAGTATAATGCTGAGTGAAATAAGTCAGTCGAAGAAAGACAAATACCACATGATTGCACTCACATGTGGGATTTAAGGAACAAAACAAACAAGCAAAAGGAGACAAAAGAGAGAAACAGAGAGAGACAAATCAAGAAGCAGACTTTTACTACAAAAAAACTAATGGTCACTGGAAGGGAGGTAGGAGGGGGATGGGGATTAGGATTAAAGTGTACACTAAAAAAAAAAGTCAATAAATAAATAGCCCTGTGTTATGAAGGACAAACTATTTTTCTTAACATAGTATCATTTCTGATAGGAGAGCCCACAGAATCTCAGGGCTCTCTGGTTGGATGTCTAAGGAAAAACCATGTTGAAATAAGGGGTGGGGGAAGGTGATTCAGAAGAGGAAATGTGTACCTAAAAGAAATATAATACTGTCTTCTCTTACTTTCTCAGCCTTGACTCTTCACTGTAGCATCTTTGTAGGAAAGTGCTGGTAAAAACCATGAGACCATTTATTACAGATTAAATTCAATTTATTTAATTGTATTAAATAAATATTGAGCACCTGCTGTGGCCACGTACTAGATGATGTGGAGAGTGAAAAGTAAGTCACAGTTACTGTCTTCAAAAAGCCTATAATCTGGGGCGCCTGGGTGGCTCAGTGGGTTAAGCCTCTGCCTTCGGCTCAGGTCATGATCTCAGTGTCCTGGGATCGAGCCCCACATCGGGCTCTCTGCTCAGCAGAGAGCCTGCTTCTCCTTCTCTACCTGCCTCTCTGCCTACTTGTGATTTCTCTCTCTGTCAAAAAAATAAAATCTTAAAAAAAAAAAGCCTATAATCTAATAAAATAAAAACTATAAATAAAGGAATATAGCATAATGAGGAAAAATTCTGGATTTAGAGGATCAGAAGACAGGTGCAAGTTCTTTGTCCATACTATTACCTTTTCCTGAGCCATTTCCCATGTGCCCCTCCCCACCAGCCACCATCACCTTTTGACTCATTATCCTTTGGAGATTGGAAAGCCTCCTTGACTTGGTCAAAGTCCTATCCTGTCTTATAATCTTACCATAACTATGAATCTTTCCTGAGCAGCACTTATAACAATTAGATATTTATATTTATTTGTTTAGTGATCTAGTAAACTTCATGAGGTCAAGAACTTTGATTTGACTAATTGTTATACCCCACTCCCTGTCCAGAGTTAGCCCTGTGGCTGGCACACAACCTGTGTTCATCAAATTTATGAAGGAGGGAAGGAGGGAAAGAGGGAGAGAGGAGTGGGGGAGGGAAATCCTGGGTGACATTTACTAGGATTTCTAGACTGCAAAGCTGTTATCTGTATCCTCATCTGTAAAATAGAGACAGATGATAGTGCCCATAGCCCAGGGTTGTTATGGAAATTATATGAAATAGTCAATGAAATTCTGTTTTATAAAATGTGAAATGAATAGCATTTTAATACAGGGCAGATTGCAGAAAACATTACAGCAGTCAGAGGTGAAAATACGGAACTAAAGGAGAAGGAAGGAAAGGTAATTAATTCCCCCCAGAATTGAGGCAGAGGATGGATCAGCAATGGAAAAGGAGGTAGACGGCTGAGAGATGACTAGGTTTTCACAAATAGCAGTAGAACACCTACTTTCTATACTCGTGCGTGTGAGTGTGTGCATATACGAGTTGACTCCTCACCAGAATGTCACTCTACTGGACAGGGATTTCCATCTGTTTGGGTCATAGCTGTATTCCCGGTACCTATAACAATGTCTGGTACATGATTGGCGCTCAGGAAGTATTTAGCGAATGAATAAATAACTGAATGAATGAACAGGTTAGAAAATAGCAGAAGAAATGTTATGAGTAAAAGCAAAGACAAAAAGTGTCTGGCTCCCTTGGGAAACGGCATTGATGGGAGGCACCTGGGCTTGGAGAGGACTACAGAGAAGGAGGGAAAGATGAGTCAGGAATCCAGAATACGTGAATACAAATATTGGTGGCTAAGAGCATCTCGGGGCTGGTGGTCTTCGAATGCCATTTGCATGGCTGAGTTGAAGAATTTCTGAGTTTTCTAACTAAGACCCCCAGCACTGACATCTTTAGGTGAAACTGAAGAAAAATGCTCCCCATTAAAACATTGAAATAAAACACCCTGACTCAGCCTAGTAACCAATCATCACATTCTCCTCTGCACATCATGAGTCTTTGACAACATGTCACATATGACAGGAAAGGAAAAAAAAAAAAATGCATCTGTAATTATAATAAAGATGAAAACTATGGAAATTATCAGGAGCATCTGAATTCAAAACACCAATGAATGTAAATCATGGTATTTGCATAGAAATGTGGCAACCCTACAGATATCAATTAAAATTCAGAAGTAAATGAATAATGAATAAAATGCCACTTTTAAAATTACAAAATAAAAGTGTAATTACTCTTGTATTTTGGAAAAATCTCACTCTTAGAGGGGCTTAATAAGAGATGGGAAACTGAAAATAAACTGAGCACTGAAGACTTTTTAGTCAGTACATCAGCGCCCCCCCCACTTTTTTAATGTTAAAAAATGACTACCTCATCAGTGTCTGTGTTAATGATCTGTAATCTTACCAGTGTGAGATTGATGATAAATACCAAGTACTGATTTTTTAATAACATGAAAAATAGACGTACAACACATTTTCAGGTAGTAGTTTTCTTAGCCTTTCTTAATGGGAGGTCTTTATAGTCCAGCTATCACAATATAATTCAAATAAAAAATTTTAAGGTGTCATTTCATGCAAATAACCTAGCCACAGACTTTTAAACTATTGGTGACCAAAGCTCCTTTTCATCTAAAGCTCAGATTGTAAGAATGTTTGGTATAATTGAGTTCTTGTCTAATTACATAAAGACTAATTTAGAACCTCATTTATTTGGAGAGTTTCTGGCATAGCAAATCCATTTAAAATGACACGTAAGAGGAGGTAATTAAAAATTAAAGTTGAAATCAAGATGAAAAAGGCAAGATTGAAGCTGGTTTAGATGGCTCTGATTAGTTATGGAGGGCAGTGAGATGGGAGAGGGGCTTAAAACACTTTGAAAGAAACAAAGAGGAAGAGAATGGAACACAGCACCCTAAGGCACCAGTGTTTTTAAATTTTTTCCAGTATGTAGCCAGGTGCAAAGTTGACCACATGCCACCGGGAGAGGTGACCTCATGGAGCATGGGTGAATACCGGGGATTCGAAGGCCCTAGACCTCTTTCCCATGTCCCCCATCCTGGAAGGGAATGCTCCTGGCTCAAAAGGGGAGGGCACAGCTTCCAGAAAGCAGCCTGTTATATGTGGGGCACCTAGCCCAGAGCAGACTCTTCTGTAAAGCAAGCTGTCAGAGCTGCCTCAGCAATAATACACACACACGCACACATACACACTCACTCACAATTAAAATGATCTTTGATCACGTATTTTACAGTTTGCAACGGGCTTTTCAATCCACAACCTCATTTCATCCTCACACCAACACAAGCAAGAACAAGTACTCTTCCTAGGCCTATTTCCCAAGTGGGGACACCGAGGTCCTGAAAGGTTAGGTAACACTCCCGAGGGGTCACACATCTGGAGTGCTAGGACCTCTTGACTCCGAATCCCAAACGGTACACTCGTTCCCTATTGGTTGACAATTTGTTTGTTTCCCTTACTGGGTGTTTCTTTCTCTTTTCTCCCTCTTCATGTTCCCTTTACACACTTCCCCTCGAGTTCTTTCATTTTCCTCCCTTCCATTGCCACTTTCTTGCTTCTTTCCTCCTATTCCTGTCTGTGCCTTGGCTCTGCCTGTAGTCTCAGAGAGTACAGCTAGGCCAGCCAGTCATTCTCAGATCCAGAGAGTCTGGCGGTACACTCTGAAAGGCAGGAAGCTTTTTTGTTCCTGAGGTGGTTTCTGCAGCAGCAAGAGCGTTGGCCCCTGAGAACGATAGTAAAGCTTGGAAGGAGGTACCTCTGATTTCATGCTTATGACTTGTTGCTATCCTCCCCTCTCGCCGCATTAAATAGTGTGTTTACCTCGAGAGATTGCTATGTATAAAGAGGTGCTAACAGCCCAGCAGAGGTTGATTTATTTATCAATAGTTTGGCTGTCATTCTGGGTCATTTGGGCTGATGCGTTGTGAGAAACGCTCACTAAAAGTCAGTCAGAGACAGATCGTTCCGTGAGACTGTATCTTGACTCCTATCAATGGGAAGAGCAACTTCAGCCTATCGGCCACTATGTATTTATGGAATCCCCACCACATGCAGGAACTAATGCAGCAATTAGGTAATTAGAAATAATCCCTTCCCTTGTGGAGCTGACATGGCAGCAGGAACAGGAACGACACACATTGCCTAAGTGGAATGAATGCTAGGAGGAAGTATTCGCTGAGCAAATTCAGGGAAACTCGCTTAACACCAGCACTTTGTATTAGAGAGAGAGAGAGAGAGAGAGACAATGAACTCAGAACAAGATGGCTGCCTTTTTTTTTTTTTTTTTTTCCACCTGGCTTATCTGCAGGACGCAACACACTCCCTCAAAGATTGTGGCTCTCTCAAATCAACAGAAGACAGTATCCTCCCCAGAGGGGTGCTCCCCATCTCCTCCCTACCTCTTCCCATCCCTTGCTGCAGAGTTGCTTGAGGGGGCCTAGGATAGTAGATACATCAGGACATGGGAGAAGCATCCATGTGAACTTTGTATCTTGCTGCCTGCCTTAACTACTTCACATTACCCATTACTTTCAGCTGTTCAGAGGGTTCTACAGGCTCTAATATTCACAAGACTCACAAGTTTAGAAGGAATATCCTGTGAAGCAGGTCTTTTTAATGAAATCCTGTCGTACACAAATTATTGAGTTCTTGGTAAATAAATGCAAGGCTGTGATGGAACTTTCCATGTGCACGTCTCCCACAGCCATCCTGCAATGAGCTGTCCAAGAGAAAGGGCCGCCAGGTACAAAGCCAGATGCACACTTACCGTTGTCCTCAGCAACACGACATCTGCCTCTTGTAAGGAACATGGGACACAATTTGCCCACACATGCCAAGCAGGTCTCCAGTAAAACACCAAGGGGAGGATCCCAAATGAGAAGATGGATCCAGCAAGACAGAGGGTTTTCCGGCAGCCTTGAGTCCGGTAGCCAAATATCTCCTGGGGAAGAATCAAAATGACCCCAAATATCGGTTAAGTACAGTAAATAGCAAATCAACCAATTGGGATTTTGGTGACAAAACTGGGGACGGAGAATGAAGAAGTCAAGGAGAGACTGAGAAACTGGAGAAGAATCCCTAACAAAATACCACGTGTTCCCAGGCCTCCAGGAAGTTGCAATCAAACTGGGAAACTCAGTTGCTATCATTCAAGCACCTGGTGCCAAACTCTGTGCCTGTGCCTGTACTCTGTGCCAAACACTATGTTAAGAGATACGGTATCTTAAGTCTCTTGAACATTCCTTGAATAGAATGATAATACCCTCGTTCATAAATGATAAGGTTGAGCTAAGAAAGCTTGAATGGAAAGACCTGACCAAGGGCCCCAAGCTAAGAATTCTGTTTCCAAGAGTCAAATCCATGTTTGATCCATAGCCTTCACAGACATGACTATGAGCTATGTGATGGGAGGACCAGATGACCAGCAGTCACATGGGCAGGAGAGAACCAGGCTTTGAGGGTGTAGTCTGGATGTGATGAAAGTGTTTGACCCACAAGAGGGTGAGTAATTAACTGCAAACCTGCCGTCAGGGGTTTAGGGTGGGGCTGTGCATTCCCACCCTCCACCCTTGTTCAGTTGCACAAAGAATTTCACAGCATGGGGGAAAATTCATAGAAACTATTTGGGTTATTGAGCCCTTGCTATGAGCTGGGAGGGGAATTGAGACCCTGAATGATACAAATATGCCAAGAGAAGAGTCTTCTAATATATTTAAAATCTGGACAACCTTCTTCCTTCCAAGTACAGCCTGAGACAGAATGGAAAACCAGCCCTAAAGTTTAAGGCCTCAGTTCCACAGTTCTATCACACAAAGTCAAAGGTATCCATTATACTGATCCTCGTGGCCAAAACTGAGAAATCAAGTATCTTCATTAAAAGCATAAGAAATAACCCAGAGGATATGGGGAGATGGAGAGGAGAAGGGAGTTGAGGGAAATTGGAGGGGGAGATGAACCATGAGAGACTATGGACTCTGAAAAACAATTGAGGGTTTTGAAGGGGCGGGGGTGAGAAGTTGGGTGAGCCTGGTGGAGGGTATTATGGAGGGCACATATTGTATGGAGCACTGGGTGTGGTGCATAAACAATGAATTCTGGTGCACTGAAAAGAAATTAAAAAAATAAAAATTTTTTTTAAAAAAGCATATTCTCTGGACCAAGACACGTTGGATTCAAAGCCTAACTCTACCACTTGCTGGGTATGACCCTGAGCACGTTATTTAGGCTCTTTATTCTTCGGTTTCTCATCCATAAGATGGGGGTGGTGATAGAACCCACTTCACAGGGTTACGGTAAAGATTAAATAAGTTACTATGCATAAGGGCTACACATGCGTTTATTGCTGCTGCTGCTTATGCTGCTAGTTACTGCCGCTTCTACTACCATCTAACCATTTCCCCTGAAGTAGACCTGAAATTCTACCCCTCAGTTATTGGCATTTAGATCTAAGAATTCCTCATGTCAATCATTCTGCTCCCGCTAGGACTGCCTGTTAGGATAACAAGGGAGCTGGAACACACAACTCTAAATCAGCCACCTTCCTTGTCTCACTTGATACAGATTACATTATCAGAAGGGTTTCTGTGATCCTTGGCTAAAGGCGCTTCCATGTGTAATTTTGGGGGGCCTTCCTCATATTAGCAGTGTCTATGGGTGCTGACTGTCTGCCTTCGGTATTGTCCACATTTGGTGTGCCCTGGATAAAGTATTCACACTAACTCAGAAACATAAGCTCTTGGCCAATTTTGAAAACTAGAATGTCTCTCTTGACATGAATCCTCTCTTGTCCCAAACTCAAGCTCTTGCTCTCCAGCTGTCAGGCCTGAAATTGTTCTGCCCGCTCATCATTCTTGAAGCAATGCTTTGTTGACCCCATATTGAACAGGATCCCAATCTTAAATCCCATACCTGTTCTGAGTCTACCCCATTATCTTTTCCCATGTGCTTTTTAATGTTTCTACAGTTTAGAACAGGTCAACTTCTACCTAACAACCCAGACATGGTATCATATTTTTTTGAATGTTATATTTAAAAGTTTCTTTATATTGCCCATGAATTGAGCCCCCCATGTAATATGTCCAAGTTACACCAATTCTAGAAGCACAGATATCTCTGTTACCATGTATTCTTTTATGGGCTATGCAATGAGAGCCCTCTATAGTTTCTAAATTGTCTTCATGTTCATTATCGAAATAATGTAAACAGGAATTATTACCTTCAATTTTCAGCTAAGAAAACTGAAGTTTAAACTTATTATATATAATAGATGTGATTAACAACTATTATTGGTAACAATGATAGTAGCTAAGATTTATTGAACACTTCGAAGCCCTTCACCAAGCACTTTGCATCTACTCTTCCATTTAGCTGAAAGAGATTAAATAAGTTTCTCAAAGCATAAAGCTCATAAATAACTCAAAACTAGACCTCTGGTCTAGACCTCTGCAGCACAGGGCAGATAACATGAGCTGGTCATTTCCACTCTAAGGTTCTTCTTCATTCTGCCTTGGATTTCAGTTCAATGTAACAAATAATTTTTAAGTGTCCACCAAAAGAGCAGACATGTGCTAGACACAGAGATGAATGAGATGATGTCGCTAGCCTCAAGGAGCTCAGTTTAATGGAAAGAGAGACACATAAACAGATAAGAACAAACAAGGTTAGAGCAATATAAGGGTTATATAGAAAAATGACTATATAAATTGTCATCTGAATTGGGTGCTACTAATAAAAACACTGGTACAGCAGTAGACCAGAAGTGTCACAGCCAGGCCAGGTAAATATCCCCTGGTTACACCAGAGTGTTGCTTTAAAAGCTTGCCTGCCTTCAGTTCTGTGGACACTACCTCAGTTAATAGCTCATGACCAATAATCCATTGTCAAACTTTTAGTAGAAAGGCTGGAATAATGTGGATAAGGAGTGTTCAATTATTGCTTATTGACGTAAGTTGAATTATACTGATTGGAAGTAAATTGCTTTGCAGGGACTATTAATAGGTATTGGATTTAAAATTGCAAAAATTAGCATGGTGCTGTTTGTTATTACCCTGTAGCAGTTTACTTCCTACATTATGGAGTGCCTCCCACGTCCCTGAAAATTCTTGAGGGAACCTTCTTGCTACTCTGCACTCCACCTACACTTACTCCCACAAAAAGGAATAAATCAGCCAAAAAAAAAAAAAAAAAAAAAGAGAGAGAGAGAGAGAGAGAGAAAGAGAGAATATTGAGAAAATGTCAAAAGAATATCACACTCATGGCAGTCTACATGCATTATGAAATAGCACACTGTCCCTTTCTTTCTCTTCCCTGCTACCCACAGATTCTTCTGTTCCCTCTGTCCCTGGAGATCTAGGTCCTTTGCATTCCTAAGGGCTTAATCTTTGGCTGCCAGGAGTCCAGGTCTTCTCCTCTGCAGAACCCCAATATTCAAGAAGTCAGACTTATGCTCTCCAAAGCAGTGGTTTCAACTACCTCAGCCAACAGAGCCCCTTAAGTCTATAGACCCTATCGCCAGAAAAAAAATACACACAGATGCATACAAATAGACTTCTCCATAGAGATTCAGAGAGCTCCCACAGTCTAGGTAAAACCCTTTCTTAGAAGGTTCTTGAGGCTGAATCAAGGCTGATCCTTCCAGAGTTTACATTCTGTACTTGAACTTGGGGCCTGACACTAAGTGAGCATTTAATGAGTGTAGAGGTATGAAGACAATGCTTCTGGAAATGCACATGAGAGGGTGATGAGAGCAGGGCATTGGCTGACTCCAGGAAACTTCTAGGGTAATGTCATCATCTGGGGGCTCACCAAGTCCTGAGAGTGGCTCTCAGCATTCTAGTCCCAGAGCTAGCTAGCAGAACTTCTCTCACAGAGAAGATTCAAGGTCACCAGGTCCAAGAGACTGGTTGGAATGAGAGAGTAAGATGTATGCAACAGTCCCAAGACCAGATGAATACATGGGTAGGTATTAAGAGTTTTTCTTTTCCCAACAGCACTGTCTCCGAGCCTGATTGTCCTGCCAGTGGAACCATATGCAAGCATAGTGCTTAAAATGGGCTCTGGACTCTTCTATGACCGTCTCCCACCCTGACTGACATGCCTTCTTTAATCATTGTAATTCATTCAATCAATTTATGGTAAAATCCCATTAGCCTGGAAGCCATTTATTCTCTTTAAGAGAATTTTGCATTTCTTTACTGGCTCCACTAAATATTTGAAAGTTTAAGTGATTTGGGTTTTTTTTTAAGTTTCTCTTCCTTAAGATAATCTTTTTTCCCTTATTTCCAAATTTTGGGTGTGAAGAGAATGTTTCACTGTACTAAATTGTACTAAATGAATGCAATTTACATCACTCTTTATCCCGACCACACACCTTACTCCAATTTCTACCTCAGTAGCTTCTTGCTCAACACTTCAATGCTGAAGGATGATTTCCCAAGGGTCTCCTAAGTTCATTTGACTTCTAGATCAATGTGAGATATTCTCAACCGGAATGACTGAATCTAGAAATCTTAAACTGGAGGCTCAAGAAGAATGACCTGCAGACAGGTTTCTTCTTGGCCTGGTAAGAATTTCTTAAAACTTTATATTGGTCCCCCAGTTGCTTTCACATAAACATTCTGATTTCTAGCTTTTCTTTAAAATAAATCAGAAATGGGCACCTGGGTGGCTCAGTGGGTTAAGCCTCTGCCTTCGGCTCAGTGGGTTAAGCCTCTGCCTTCAGCTCAGATCATGATTTCAGGGTCCTGGGATTGAGGCCCGCATTGGGCTCTCTGCTCAGCGGGGAGCCTACTTCCCCCCACCCCTCTCTCTGCCTGCCTCTCTGCCTACTTGTGATCTCTGTCAAATAAATAAATAAAATCTTAAAATAAAAAATAAAATAAAATAATAATAATAAAATAAAATAAATCAGAAATCGTGATAGCACAGTACCCATATTCTTGT